ACGTATTAGTAAATAAAACGTTGCAGTAAATATCCACACCTAAAAACCCGAGTTAGGGCCGTACTGTTTTTAGCAGAACAATACATGGAGCTGACATTTTTAATGTGATGGGAACCTCCGCCTGACGACGCTGATGCTACCTGCTGTAAACAAACACTTAACAGATAAGATGCAGGAGGCTGATAAGGTGGAGTGGAGTTATTATTGCAGGCGCACAGGACGAGTTTCTCTCTCGTACACCCACACGTGCATAAACTGTTTCACAAGTGCGACCTCGTCCTGTGATTCTCTGGGTTTTCGTTGCAAACTGAAACACCTGACCGCGCTGGCGAGCAGCATTGTTCCTCCCGTTGGCTCTTGAAAATAGAAGCTTATAGGAAGCAATGAACAATGACTGTTACATGACCCGCTAATGGATGTAGCAGTGGACTTGTGCTTACGAGTGTGTGTGTGTGTCTGTGTGGGTGTGTGTATTCCGGATGTTGTTTGGACAAGATTTACAGGTTTAAATAATCATGTCATTGACCAGTTGCATTCTGGGTACTTCGGTTTTAATGTAATTATCATACAGATATATTCAGGTGTGTGTAACTGGAGCCGTTACATTAGTGAATGACATCATCTTAACATTAGCAAACTTTTGGCTAAAATAAAATTTAGTAGTCTTCCTCAGGCTTAATTTCCTGCAGCGCCCCCTTTTGAAAACACTACCGTCAAGTCTCTCCAGCCCCATTAGCGCCCCCTTTTGAAAACACTACCGTCTCCAGCCCCATGTCCGCAAATTCACATCTATTGATTTTCAGGCTCCACCTTAACTTTTTAGGTTAACATTATTTAGAACACTGTTTTTTTTACTTTCTGCCTTGCAATAGGTCTATGACCCCTTAAGGACCCCACCCCCCATTTTAAGAACTACTGCTTTATGCAACGTCTATACAACTCTGCTATAAATAAGCATAATATCTTCAATTGTTAAATACGTAGCTATCTGTTTTGTAGTCTTCTTGAAAGCTAATGTTGCTAAGTTTTATTTTATTTTTCACTTCAAAGCTGACATGAACCCGACAAGAACCATGTCCACTGTGGCAAAAGATACGGAAGTCATAGATGTTACCGCAATATCTGACACATGTCATCAAGACGTCATCATCACTAGAATTTTTGGGGAGAGAACATTACTTACTACTGTAAACAGCCTTCAACGTCTTAAGGATTGGCAGAGATACTGCAGGGAGTTATGGGAAATTCTCCGTTTAGCAGACAATGGTATGCATGTCTGTCATGTCAGTTGACAGACTGTGTTGATATTGGTATCAGTAAAAGGTAGTTTAAAAATGACAGCATTTATAAATTGACTTGTGAATATATTTGAATACGCTGCTCTAACGCCATCAGCTGTGAAGCTCTGGTCTGAGAGGTTTTAAAGACCGCTTTAGATGGTTGAATGGATACATCATCTGTACAGTATATAACAAACTCGACATTACACAGATTAAGGAAAACATATGGTCTTTCCACAAAAAGACACAACAGCAGTTATTCCTCTTACAGTAGAACATAATCTGCGACGGACCGTGGAGTCTGTTATTTGTATTCCGACATGAAAACACTTTTATCTCCTTGACATCGAGACATTAGGCTTGATGCTTCTGTATAAAATAATTTTTCGGTCTGTCGCTGCTAAAGTCCCGCGGAAGAGGAACGGCAGAAAGCGAGTCAAAGGTCAAAGTGTCGGTAGTCTGACAGTAGAAATAACAAATATACACTCTTTTCCTAAAGACGTGCTTGGAAAAGGACCAAGAATCCGAGAGATTAATTATCATCCTGGACATACTGGAGTGTGTGTGGATGGAGAAGTGGTTTGGTTGTGTGAGTCACAGTTACCGCAGCATATATTCCTGGACATTCTCCGGCTTAATGTTTATATTGGGCAGAACTCTCTCTGTGTGTGTGTGTGTGTGTGTGTGTCATGTACTTTCTCACACTTCGACCACAATCTATGCTCATATTCCATATTTAACGTCAGCCTACCTTAATTGTTTTCCTGCCTCCGTTGCTCGTCAAACGTCCTCTATTGTCTCTCCGCTCTTTACTAGTTTAGCCATGCGTGGAGCACACAGAGTCAAGAATGTGAATAAACCACCAAAGATTGAACAATAAACCAAGTTTGCCATGACAGAAAACATATATATGGACATATATCAGTGACACAAAGGAATCTGAGGCAGAGAAAGTGGGATGGGAGGAGTAGGTTTTTCTACATTCCCTTTCCCAATTTTAGTGTTCTGGTTCGTGCTACATGCAACCTGATCATTTAATTTGTCATCCGTTTATAAGGCATGATTTTAAAACCATGTTTCTGGTTTCTAAAGTTACAGCATTGGACAGACTTATTCTGGAATTTCATCATCAATGAACAACAAAAAAAAAATTAAATTCAGAATTCATGAAGGTTAAAACGACATCCAACAGTCATGTTAACGCAGTGTTCCGTAGACGGGAGATCTATGGACAGCAGGGAGAGCTGTTGCTGTTTCACTGACTACACCAACAGTCAGTCTGGTCTCATCATTAAGACCGGGATCAACATGACTGTGAGTCAGCGTGACCATTGAAACAAAGGGCCATGTTCGCGTGACGCACACCTGTGCTTTTCCCGCCACGACCCGTCAAAACGTGCGCTTTTGACGAAGGTCTGCTCTCATCAAACCTCTCGACGACGCTCCCTGTCATCTGTTGAAGTGTCTGCGTCTGTCCCTCGTCTCATTTATTCGGCTCTCTTTTCGGGAAAAACTGTTGGTCTTTTAACCTCTCGCAGCCTCCTCCGTTGTCCTCCTTCTGTTCCCACCTTGTACTTAGCCCCCCACCCTTGCCCCCTTTCTGTCAGAGATGTTAGCAGGACATTAAACCCTACGTAGATCTCCTGCTTTCATCCTCGTCTCTCCTCCTTCTGTCAGAAACATTAACAGAGTCATTCCCTGCCAGGCTCTGGTTCCTCCCCTCCGTCTGATACACTCTTTTCTTCCTCAGTTTGTTTCTTTAACGTCCCTACGTCAAGTTTAATTACCATTTCATCAGCAATTTGGAAGTTACACAGATTAACCTGTCACATTACAGTAGCTCACAACACTCTGATTAATCTCTCTTTTTAGCTTGCTAAAAAAAAAACATCAGCTCGTTGGTGCAGTTAAATGAGTTCCATCAGACTCTGCTGTTTTTGGAAATATCCCATAATCCTGTTGAGATTATGCCAATAGAAAATCTACACTAATATGCTGTCGGGAATGTGATTGGGATTAGGAATTTTTGTTTGTATGCTGCACTTGTCGTCGTGGCCTAGAAATGTTTCGGGATGAAGCACCAGCACCTTTTGTTACCTACAGAAGGGTAATTGGATGGATGGGTGGCAGTTACTTAATCCAGCCTAAAGCACTGAAAATATGTGAGATTATTATTATATCCTATTTTCTGGGAATATTTTTTAACTGTTTAAGACACTGTAATCTTTTTGGCGTTACTCTGCCTTTTGTTGTCAAACCCTAGTATATTTACTCGGCCTTTTGTTGTCAAACCCTAGGATATTTCTGCACAAACATTCAGACACACACACACACTCAAACCGTTTATATATTTTTTGTATGAAAATCCTGTCTTTGTTTATTAGCTTTATCTCTTGAAGCCAAATGTCAACATCAGGTTGACAGACTCAGTTTCCTGCGATCATCCAGTCACTGTTGACACACATCCCCAGACCTGGAGACCAGCAGCAGCTCTGAGCAGTTGACCTCAGGTGACACGGAGGTCAGTGGGATGCAGGAGACTTAGGCAGGAGTGAAATCAGGAATATATAAAACCACAGACTTTAAAACCTAGTGCACCTGCCAGCACACTTCCACGGCTCGTGCAGAGTGGGGCTGTTAAATTTAATGGTGAAAATCTGCGTGTGCACGTGTGTCTTTTAAGGGTGTGCGAGACGGCAAGTGAATAAGTGCGTGCAGGTGCCAATCAGATAAATATGAAGCGGTAGGAAATTATGGCCTAGGATTGTCCAAGGGTTGAGTCCTGGTGTCACTCTGACGTCGGATTTTTATGTGGCTTCTGAGAATCCTGAACACAGTAACATTAAAACTCTGCGTCCTGCACTACCTGTGGCACCATGTGCTTTGTTCCATTTCCGAAACTTTATTGTAGCGGTGAAAAGCAAACAAACATCGTCATCAGTGTCTTTGTCTTCGAACTTTTCGACCTCTCTTTCATCTTTAACTTATCCTCAGTGGCCCCTGATTACCTTCACTACAACATGACAGACCCTCTCTCTCTCCCTCTCTCCCTCCCCCCCCCCCCCCCTGTAGGTTAATCATTCCAGTAGTGCAATAATGCCAGAGAAGGTCTTATCAGTCTGTGTCATTTTATAACTTGCCCTACCCCCTACCCCCTACTCTCTGACTCCACCCTCGAAACCCCTGCGAGTCATCAGGTTCTAACCAACCACAGCCTGGACTGTTGCTGCACACTGGAGTCTCCTGTATGCAGTCAACACTTCTGGTTGGAGCTCTAAACCCCTGCGAGTCATACTTTTCTCAGTTTATGATACTTTTCTCATGTGGCAGGCGATTACGGTGATTACGGGTGTAAACTGTAGCAGAAACAGGTTGTTTTTTCGGAATTAAACTGCAGGTGTGTCTGTTGGAGAGGAATATCCTTATTGTTGCTGCATGGTAAAAGCAAAAAAAACCAAACAAACAAAACAAACCAAACAGTTGCTGCATGGTAAAAGCAAAAAAAACAAAAACAAAACAAACCAAACCAAACATTTGGAGGCGTTTTTTTTAACCGTAAGCAAGTTGACAAACTGTTGTCTGCAGTTCTCTTGAAGTTCCTTTGGAGAACAACAAACATGTCACAAATGTCAAATTATAAGTGTGAAGATTGGGTATAAAAGGAGCATCAGCCAAAGTCTTCTAAATGGAAAAAAAATGATTTCTCTGTCTATTATACAGGTGCAGGTGGTGACGTCATCACAGTGATCACGTTTTGGTATAGGTCTAAGTGAACCTGCGCCACAAGCATCATGGGAAACACATTCTTTTACGTGAGTAACGTGACTCAAATATACTATGAAATATACTGCAGTGTTTACGTTGTCCTTCAAATGTATACAATGAGAAAAGAACATCATTCTTCTATTCACTATTTTAAAACGTTTAGACCTGGAACATATTCCAGTCGTTTCAGAATAAAAGAAGCCATCACTCCACCCCCACCCATCTCTCTCTCTATCTCTCTCTCTCTCTCTCTCTAGGTGTGTGTGTGTGTGTGTCTCCCCTGTTATAAGAACCGGTACAGTGGTGGAACAGGAGAGCGCGCGTACTTGCGCACACATTTTCATGTAATCTGTTCGAACGTCACCCCGATTTGCCTCAAAAGCCCGAATTTATAGATGGACCGTGTATAAATATAATTTGTTCAACCTAATACTGATAATAATCCAGAAGTAAGATAAATAGATATAATTCATGTTTATTTAATACAAAAATGAAGGCCGTCTGAAGCCTGAGGCCGACGTCGCCCCAAAGTTCCCAAATATGAATGAACACACCCAAAAGGTGTGTATGACGCCTGTGTGGATTTTATTAAAATTAAAGTTACGTGTAGAATTTAATATGCCCTTCACTTGAATTGTTGAGAAAAGGAAAGGAAAGAAAAAAAGATAAAAAAATGTCAAGAAAAGTCAAGAAAAGAAAAAAAGAAAAGACGAGAAAAGAAAAGAAAAAGTGTTTATATATTTTTAATAATCAGTGTCATGCCGAAGCTAAATGATGACGTCAATAATTAACACATCAGTTTAGACAAACAATCAGATTCTTTTTTTCTTTCCTTCCATGTAATTCATTTTATTATTGAATTATTTCTTTGAATAATATAATATTAACGTGATTTAAAAACCTCGTCCACCGGAGCTCTGGTGTGCCACAGAGGGTGTTGTTGTACGGTGATCCTGCTCCTCTCCCCTGACTCCCCTCCTGACTCCCCTCCTGGTCCTCCCTGCGCTTTTTAAGTCCTTCATTAACGGGACCTAACAGCTGAGATTTTGGAGACGCGGAACTGGAGGCTGTGCGGCGATGCGTCCGGGTCTCCTCGCCTGATTGGATCGGTGAAGGATGATGTCAGACGACCGCATGCGCCCGGGATTGGAGCAAGCGGAGTAAACAAAGCCGCGAGGAGGAGGAGGAGAGGTCTCCACATCTCCAGACAGTCCGAAACAACGCACACCGAAGCCGACTTTTACGCACGGGAGAGAGCGGCCCTGGTGGCGCGTACTGGTCTTACCGACCGCTCCGTTACCCACAGCACCACTGTGAATAGGTGACGCGCTTCAAAGACTCTGGGGAAGAACGCTGAAGACACATTTAACAACGATTTTTTTTTACTTACTCCGGACACTGCAGTTTTGCCCCCCGTTCGTGTACGGGACTGATGTCCGAACTCTGCGCACAGCTGCTCCGTCTTTACTGATTTGAAGGCAGCACATTCCTGTGCTCGGCGCTATCGTTGCCGTCTTTAAATAATGTTCATAAAAACAACGCTTTAATGCAATTATGAAAAGTGAATCCGCGAAGTCGAATCAGAGAAGACACACTCCGGCAATGAATCCCCCTCGCTTGGAAACGGTCTGATTTGCCAGAATCAGAATCCAGAAAAGTAATCGAGCAACTGAAGGACAAACACTCAGAGTCAGAAACGGACAGTTTTAAAAGAGACAATTTGGGACACTTTCGGCGAGTGCTTGGGGAACGTGTGTCTCACACGTCCAGGTGTCCCACCGAGCGGTGCGGAGTCTCCAGCTCAGGCCGGCCGCGCTGACATGCTGCCCAAAGTCGAGACTGAATCCTTGGGACTCTCTCGATCGTATGGGGAACAGGGGCACATGCCAAGGAATATGCAAGGTAAGATCTGCGCACCTCCACACTCTACACCATACACAAGCCTCACCGAGATTGACTGGACGTTCGGTTTAAAAGTATGTGCCATATATATATATACGTTAAAAGGCAGTCAAAGTAGAAATGTATTCTAGATCTTTAATCTCCGTGCGCAAAGTTTTCCCCGCACATTGGTCGTTATTTTTCAGAGATTCGCAATGGATCAAAAATTTTTGTAGGATTTTTTTTTTCCTTCAATGATTTGTTAGCCGGCCGTAAAAATGACCAAAAATGTGCGCAGATGCTTCTTGGATCAACTTTTTTTTTTAAATGTTTGGCTGCCGATCAGAAAAAGATTATAACCAGGTGCCATTGATGCAAAGAAAAGTGTAGAGCCCGGGGCATGATGGGACATAAATCAAAGAAATTCATTTTATATTGTCCCTTGTATATTTTGTGCCATTTAAATGACTGCGAAAAATCGCAAAGTTTAATTCTGAAGTTTATTTTAAAAATGCTCAATAACCCGCAATTTTTTTACCTCAAGTTATGCGCAAAATTGTGTCATAAGTCCAATGTCTTCTCAGTAAATTAGGTATCCTCGAATTTTTATGTTCGTGTGTAAAACAGATAATTGTTTTAGTCGTTTCATTTCGTGTTCCCGTTCAGTGACATGCGAAGTGCGAAATCATTTTTAAAAATAGCAAGAAAGTTATCGGTTAAGTATTTTATTCCAATGCAGTTTTAAACAAACTGCAGATAATTGTAATTGTATTTGTAAATTGTAAAGATAATAATAACGACAAATGTTTAATTTTGTCTAAAAAAAAAAACATTTCGGCCGAAGCGCACATTTGTGTTATTTTGATTTATTTAAAAGTCAATGACGGGCATAAATAAAATACCAGATCTGTCAATTGTTATTGAATACATTTTAACAATAAAGCGGCAGAGATTTAAAGCACAGCTCACTCTTCTTGTCAGGACTTTCAGTCAATTAGTCCGCTCCTGGTTTATGGGACGCTGATAACAAAACTCAGGAGACGAGGAGTGGCCGACAGCCCGTTATCTGCTGGCACACACGGCTGAACACAAAGGTAGCTGTGGATGAAAGAGTTTTTCTTCTTCTTCTTTTTCTCCTTCTTCTTTATTTACTTATTTTTATTTGAATCTGAACACACGTTAAACTGCAGGAGCAAGTGGCGCAAAGCTGGGACGCAGCAGGTGAGAGCAGCGCACTGACTTTCGGTGCCAAAGTCACTGAGCAGAATTGATGCAGTCTGCTTTATTCTAAATTATATATATAAATAATTTTAAATATTAATTATTTTGTGTTTGAATCTGCGTTAAAACATCACTTTCTAATGCTCTTCCAGGTGGTAAAATATTAATCCAAATTTGCTGCAAAAGCAGTTTTTTTTTTCAGCGTCCAAAACCCTGAAAATTGACATTTTCCCTGAAACCTATTCTTTACTTGTGGCCTCAGAAACATTTCCAACTATTTTCATTCATAATTGCCACCGCCTCCCTGCTGCAAAGCTGCAATTAAAGTCCCGATAATACATATTTTCTTTATTAAATTATGTCCAAAATGTGCAGCTGCCGTGCGTCATGACGACAAGGCCCAACACAACCTTCTCATTTTTGCGCATTCGCAACACTTTGGGCAGCGCAGCAGGATTTTTTAACCTTCTCTGGGAAAAAAAAGCAGCAGCAGCAGCAGTTCGGTGGAACTTGTTGCTTCAGCTGGAAATAAGCAGATGTGAATTCCAACAGGGCAACGCGTTAACAAACTAGGAATCAGGTCTAATTAAAAAAAGACTCAGTGAGGAGTCTGTCTCTCTCTCTTTCTCTCTCTCTCTCTGTCTGTCTCTCTGTTTCTCTCTCTGTCTCTCTCTCTCTCTTTCTCTCTGTGCGTGTGAAGTCTTTGGTGGAAGGTGCCTTTTTGACAGGATATTTCCACTCTCACAGCCACATCCACTGCTTTCCTGTTTGATCCCGGCTGCTTTTTTCTTTTATTTTTATGATTACAACCAGAAAATCTTTCTTTTTCTTTTTATTTGTACCAGCTGTAAATATCAATCGGACTGTTTACTTCGCGCTGTCACAGCTCACCTTCATCAATGTAATAGTTCATTATTTATATTTGTTATTTATTTATTTATACGTTAATATTTGTTTTGTCTCTCTCAATGCCCAGCGTAAAAAAACAAAAACAAAACACACGTCCGATTTGTATTAATCTCAGCGAAAGTTTAATTGAAATGTTAACATTGTATTTTTTTTTAATAATTTCCACAAACAGAGGTAACGTCTTCCACATTGAAGAAAGTGCTGCATTGAAGTTTATTTTCCCGAACATTTGTGTTCGGGATTATTCTCGGACACCTAAAATTTGATCACATAACTTAATTGTAACAAACCACTGCCTATTTTAACCAACTATTTTTGCGTTTTTTAAAGAAGAACAAGCTTCTTCTTCGCATGTAAAAGTGAAGATAAATATCTAACACCATCATCAAATAATAATAATAATTAAAAAGAAAAAAAAACAACAACTATAAAACTAAAGTAAAGAGTCAATGGCCCGCAGCTCTGCATCTGAATCTGTGTGAAAGAGCCTGATGCTGGGGCTGGATGTTTTTCTCCTCGCCTGCAGAGATAAAGTCTTTCTCTGTGTCTTCATTTGTCTGTGGGCGGTAACGTTTTTCTCCTTCAATCCTTAACTCTAATATCTCTCCATTTCCCACAGCGATTTCACGACTTTGAGACATGCATATTTATGAGGCTGGCTTTCATGTACCCTTTTTTGTGAAAAGAAAAGAAGGAGACAAAAATATGTAGAAAAGAAGGAGGAAAAAAATATGTTTATCTGCCTTCTGTTAGAAAAAAAAAATGGGGAAAACACGTAAAAAAATAAATGTTTACATACGTCGTAATAGTTTGAAAAAAAAATGGGGAAAAACACGTAAAAAATTAAATGTTTACATTTTAATCGTCGTAATAGTTAATAGTCATATTTACATTGTCCGAGAAATAATGCGCAAAAGTTTAATTTACACAAAAAAATTGCGTTTGCACTTTTACTCTAGAAAATATATTTATATATAAATATATATATATATTTTTTTTAGGAGAAGTAAATAGAAGAGACTCTTCACCTCCGTAATACTTCATTCCCTCTCTCTCTGTGTGTGTGTATTCACGTTTTGCCGCAGCATCCCAATTGAAAATGATGGACTACTCTTATGACGAGGACCTGGACGAGATGTGCCCCGTGTGCGGAGACAAAGTTTCTGGTTATCATTATGGACTCCTGACCTGCGAGAGCTGCAAGGTGAGACTTCCGACACTTGATGACTTGCAGGGGATATATTACAATAAAATATCATCGCACCATTATTCTGACATTTTTGGACAGTGACAACATGTACTTCAGTGATAATGAGCTCATGGAAGTGATTTTAGCAAATGTGCACTCAGGAATTGATCCTTTTTTTTCAACCTTTGGTTCCTGTTATTTGTGTAGTTATTGTTAATAAACTTCCTGCATGCAGCGTTAACGCTGACAGTATCAGGTCATGGTCTGACTAAAACCAAAACAAAAAATATTTAAAATGTTCCGGGTTTGAAGTTTGTCTGTGTCAGTGATACTGTGAGTAACTGCGGACTTGAGTTTCAGCACAGGAAAATCAGCAGTATAGAGGTCAACGGTCAAATATTGTTGTGACAGTTTTTCCCACTAGTGTGGGGGGATTTTAGAAGCAGAACTTAAACCAAATGCACTGTGGGCTTTTGATATTCCTGCAGCCACTGAACACACCAGGCAGAGGCGGAGGTTAAACCCCCCGAAAGCAGAGTACACAACCATAATAGACGTGTGTGTCCTATAGGCCTGCGTGGTGTTGTCTGAAAGTCTCATCACACTCTCATTAAAGGCCCGGCGTCTTTGTTTGCCTGCTCTTCTGCTTCCATGCCTGTGTTAATAACGAGGCTAATGTAAATCAAACAGGTTGCTGCCATTAATCTGAGCTCCATCAACAACCTGTTTGTGTCTCTCTTCCTATTTCCACCGTTCACCTCAACACTGAACTAACAGCCACTGCTCAAGGCTTTTTTTTTCTTCTCCTAGTCCAGTAAAGCTGTCAGCACAAAATTAAGCCAGGACAAATGTGTCTGTGTTAACACTATTCAGTGTAAAATCGCGGCTCGTCTTATTGATGCCGCAGCACACATTTCTTGCCTATGTGATCATTATTCAAAGCAGATGCTATAGATTTTATCCTATATTATGACCTTGAGATGCTAAGCACTTGCTTGAAGGGAGACGTCGTCGTCGGCATCTACAGTACGCTGCTTTTAAAGCCTCAGCACAGGCATCGGTTTGCATAAGCAGTACACAAACAATTTCCCTGTTGAAATGCTCCGGTCAGAGTGCGTGTATACATGAGGGGTGATGGTGGGGGTAGATGAAAAGGTCTGGTGGTCAGTGTTGAAGCTCACATCCTTGTTTATATCTGAGTATCACCTCAAGTTGTACTTCGAATACTCGTACTTTGTTTAGTTTAAGTAAATTTTTCAGCTTGTTGGAATAAACAGAATTTAAATGAATATCCTATAAATAATTTGTATTGATCAGAAATGAGACAGAAAAGAAATCAACAAAGAACTAAAATTGTATCTTTAGCATTTTTTTAAACCTTTCTTACATAACTCCTCACTCACTTTTTTTTCTATGCTGCCTCAAAAAATACTGTTCAACAAAATTGGATTTAACTGAATTCAAGGCGAGATTATGACCAAGGGGCCAGATTTTGGTCCAAAAGCAGGGACAAGCACATTAAAAAAATCTAGAGAGAGGAAAAGTGAGGTAGTGATCATATTCCACCTCCTCAAACACAGACGACCATTGAAACACACACACACACACACACACACACACACACACACACAGACTGTTGTTCACTGGGCCACAGTGTCAACATGAAACCACATCATACCTGTTAGTTCAGCAGCAGCATGACAACTGGGCTGAAAGGTCCTCATCTGAACCCAGTCTGTGCCTTGTTTGGGGAGTAGTAATAACGAAGTGTGAGGTCAGATCAGATGTACATTAGGAATGAAAAACACTTTTTTTTTTATCTGCACAAATAAAGAAACTATGCTGCGTTCATTTGCACAAATAAAGCAGGTGCAGAGGTTCTGGCACCAGAGGAGATAAAGCAGCTATGTAAATTTGTATTTTTCCTGCGACTGTTGGTCAGTGTTGGTGTGCAGTAAGTGCTGTTTCCTTGTTGTGCTGTCCTTGTGCTAGAATACTGCAGTCTTTTTGGAAGGCGTCCCAAGGTTAGGAGTACCCAGTAACCCAGATAATTTATCAAATTCTCCTTGGACACTGTTTGAATGGGCGTCTTGTGTTCCTGACAGCTTGATTTCAGGTTTTGTATGAACAAGTAGCTCTTTTATCAAAATGTTAAGATGTTTGGAGTGGCAACAGGAGGAGACAAAACCATGTTTGCTGCAATCTCCTTTCACATTAAATGAGCTTTGATGAGTGCTTTTGCTTGGTTTGAACCACAGGTTAATCAGGCTTTTCAGTCTGCGGTTGTCTTCCTCATATTCAGCAGTGTGCTTGTGTGGTGTGTGTGTGTGTGTGTTTAATTTAAAGTGGAAAATTGAAACGAAAGTTCTCTCTAAAAGATGGATTTTTCTTCAGCCCAGGAGTCGATAATCCGAAAGTGTGAGCGTTTTTTGAGACAGACAGATTGTCAATTAGGCTAGTGAAATTTGTGTTTGGCAAAATATTGACAGCTGTACAAAAAAATAAAAAAATCCCACTTTTATTAAAAACTCAGTTTTCAGGATTCTCCTCCTACATATGGATCTAAAAATGTTAATACCGTCTTCCCTTCATTTGAGTTCCTCTGCTGCTGCTGCCGATAATTAATTCCATGTTGCAGGTATGAATATCTGTAATCCCAGAACTGTGAATTATGGATATAATTTATTGGATATTTTTGAACTGCCGTTCACATGTTTTTCAATTATTTAGTGGCGAGTTGGAAAGATGCTTTATACGTACTACATGTCAGCCTCTACATACAGATCCTCCATATTTTTATATCTGTCCAGCAAAGTAATATTGACTTGTTTCACCATGTGTGTAGAAATACTTTGATTTGTCTTATTATTGTTATTTCAAGTCTAAAACTAAGGTAAAACACTACAATGAACTCATGTGTGAGATTAATAGCAGTGTGTGTATGTGTTCATGCGTGTGTGTGTGTGTGTGTGTGTAAGTAGACCCCCTCCATCTGTCTGGGTGTGTGAATGGACCAATTACCATAGCATTGCAGGGGTCAAGCAGGTTGACGTCTTAATTGGTTCTCTCTGCAGGGCTTCTTCAAGCGCACCGTCCAGAACAACAAGCGCTACACATGTATAGAGAACCAGAGCTGCCAGATTGACAAGACCCAGAGGAAACGCTGCCCATACTGCCGCTTCCAGAAGTGTCTCACCGTGGGCATGAAGCTAGAAGGTACAGCTACATGTTTCTGTTTGTCTATTCTTGCTGTTTGGCTGCGGCCAAGAGACCTTGACTTTTGCTGGTGTTCTGTCTATTGTATATTAAAATGTAGTAAAATATATTTTTTAAAAGTAGGACAAATCCTTGTGAGGCACGGTCAAAAGATGGATTACCAATTCCTGGTGGATGATTTGGACTTGTCACAAAATTGGCTTTCTTTATAAAAGATGAATGAGATGTTGTTGTTTAATTGTGTTTCATGTCCAAACAGTCAGCGCCTCTAAGTGGCCCCTGGGATTTCACTTTGTTGCTCAAGGCCTCAAACAAAACAGATGGCTGTTACATGAGTGTGTGACTGCTCAGTTACCAGCTTAGGATGACGTACTACAAAGATCTGCTCCAGTAAAAAAAAAGAATAGTGCATTACAAAATGTACTCAACCACTTACACACGTTGTCTTTGTGCAAAAGATTTACTTTGTCAGTGAATGTTGTCATATTTAACTGTCAAATGTTATTTACCATGGAAAAAGGGTCTTCAGTTCACTTCAGTTTGATGTGATAGATCATTTTAATAGAATAGATATATTCGTATTCCAGAGGCAACTTTTAGCGTGAGACAGAGACGATAGCCACAGATGGATGGATGGATAAATGAATGGATGAAAATGAGTTCAAACCAAGCACCAGAGTAATGGGAAAATGTGATTATAAATGGGGCCAGAAAGGGTGGATCTCAATGTTTTAGGAACGACACCTATATTTTATTCATATTTTGAAATAATAGATTAACAAATATATACAAATTTATATATAATATATATATACATTTATTTAAGTAACATTTTTGTTAAAATGCTAAAACTAGTTTTGACGAGATGATTTCAGTAAAAAATAATCTATTTTTCCTGAATATCAAATAACGGATATTCAAGTTTCTGTTTTGTTTTCTAGTGTTTTCTTGAAGAGAAAAACCGTTCATTTAACCCAATGTGATGTGTAGCATTTCAGTGGGTATGAAGATGGGTGGGGGGGGAGACAGAGTGGATATCTGGTAGCTCTTCTGCACTCTAGGTTGCCAGACAGATTAATAGATAAAATATTAAACTTGGCAGCAGAGACAGGTTGGTAATGTTGATACTTTTGGCTGACGGCGTCCAGTTCTTTTTTGTTTAATTTGACTGTGGCTCAACAGCTTATTCAAACATGGTTATGCAGAAGTGACAGGGTGGCAGAGCAAGAACTGTTCCTGCGTGCTCAAAGATAATATTTGAGGACGACTATTTTTTTCCACACGTTATTTGACAGATTTTTTTTGCTTTAGCGTTACTAATTCTGGCATGAAAAAACAAATATGCCTTAAAGCTAAACAGTTTATGTTCTGAGAAAGAGGAATTAAATGTGAAAAATGTAAAAAAAAAAAAAAAAGTTTGTGCAGCTCCTAAGTTATTTGGTTTACAATTTCACACAAAAATAAGAAAACATAATATATTAAAAGGGAATCTTAAATGGAAAACTTAAAATCTTGTTCTTTCTAGTATTAATTTTTACAGCTGACACTTGTGGTTTTAGGCGTTAGGTTTGATTTGTCTCTGTGGTTGTAGCTTTCATCTGAGGGGCAACTTCTGCCACAACCAGTAAAGACGAGACCTCCCAGACCGAAAGTGTGACACGCCTTAGACCACAGGCTCCACTTTAGACACAAATCTTGGTGGTAAACACATGCATGTATTCATGAGGTGACCAGGAAAAGGTGTTCAGAAGGCCACGGCCTGAAGGTGTTGTTTAGGACACAGAAATGTGATTGGAAAATTTGCTCTGAAAATAAAAACCAAAACAAAACAAACAAAATATGGTGAGCGTCATCTGCTGTGGTACTTTTGTTGTTTTGTTTTTTTTTTGTGTTTTTTTTTTCTCTCCTTCGTACAACAGCTTGTGGCAACATGTGAATTCAGGAAATCGAGTGGAAAACAAATGTGGTCTTTACGTCGTCTCATGACGTCTTTCCTGTTTGTTGAGAATATCTTCAACTGCTGGATTGTGCAGTTGAAGTGTGTTATGAAGGTGCCAACAGCAGATTGTGTGTGTGTGTCATTGCGTGTGTGTGAAAGAGAAGAAGAGATAAAGTCCATGTGTTGATAAACAGAAGGCTGGTGATTATCAGAATAACATAAACACAACTTTGTCATGTCAGTCATTTTATCCTGACGTGACGACGGCGCCGGTTGTAGGGTGATGTCAAACATAAGGCCCGGGTGCTGACTGCGGTCCCCTAGCTTATTTAATTTTTTTTTCCCATAAATGTGTTTTCCTTTGCAAAAATGTAGAATACTTTTTAATTGATACAGCTGTCTTAAGCATCATTTTAATATTTTCTCTATTTGAAATCAAGGTATGACTTTAACAAGTTCTACATTTTTTACACTTGTTCTTAATTTGTACATCAGTATTATTTAAATATTCAGTTCTATTTACTAGTTGAAATGTTATGATATAGAATAAAAAATATTCTGGCCTGCAGAGTAACTTCACAACACACCCTGACTTTGTGACTAATACAAAGACAAAAGACAACTTTACACACTTACGCAATATGATCCTATTTATTTTTTCTTTTTTATGCAGGATAAATGGTTTATAATAAATCACCAGATTTTTACAGTGTGTGGGTCAAGTCATTACCCCCCCCCCCACCACCACCTAGTGTCTGTAATACTGAGCACCATGAGGTGCCATTAGAACCAAAACACTGAATCCCAGCGGTTACTCTGACAACTGTAACCTTCACATCAGCTGCTAATTTGTTTTTTACTCCCAGTGACTTCTCACAGCAGAAACATGTTTCACACACGCAGGAGAAAATAATCAAATGCCGTTATTGTTGAAGCCATTAACGTGTTATTGTGTGGAGCTGATGAAGCGTGTCACATCTCAGCAGCTCCACTGCTGCGGTTCTCCTGTTAATGCTTCCTGGATGTTGCCTTGCATCATATGCTTCACTGAGCTGTCTAATATTCCCCTGACCTGTGTATCACATTAAAGACGGAGCATAACATTAGTGTACTCTGTGATATGATACAGTTACCATTGAACAGTTACGGAGTGGAAGGTGTTAAACATGGGTTTATTGACAGTGAGGACAATCTTAATAATTAAAGAAAAATATATTCACAGTAAATTAGACATTATAAAAAAAAAATCTGAAAACGTGAAACAAAAGCTGCGTTTGCTGAATATTTAATTCCCTTTTCTTTTTAAAATGGATGTATTTTTTAAAACTAACACTGGACTGAAGTGTTAAATACAGAATCACCAAATGTGATTTTAATTAACTGATACAAATGTTGAACCATTAAGCTAAAATTAGTCCCTCAGTGTGTTTAGAGAATGTTGAACCATTAAGCTAAAATTAGTGCCTCAGTGTGTTTAGAGTCTCTCTCTCTCTCTCTCTCCCTCCCTCCCTCTCTGACCTTTTCCTCCCTGTGTTTCACTCTGATTTGTCTTCCTCTCAGTACCTGGGCTGGAAGCCAGTCTTCCCCTCTATTACTTATGCATAGGTATCATAGGTATTCATGTGTGCGCATGGGGTAGGGCACATCCAGAGCAGGGGTTGGGGCTCCGACATGACAAACAGGGTGTCAGCAAGACTCCGCGAGAGCCATTAATATGCCGGCGGCGGACAGGGATCCTCACCTACTCAGGCTTAATATTCCTGTATATTAAACAACCATAAATCAGAGCATGAAAGAGGTGAGGGCTGCGTGTGATGTCTTTGAATGTGTTAGGGCTTATATGTGCACAGACAAAGTGTCTGTGTAGGTGTGTGTGCGTTGTGAGTCCGTGTTTGAAATTGTGTGTGTGTGAGGCAGACTTTTATGGATGTGTGTGTGAAATGTGTGTGTTTTAGTGGCGTTGCTGTCAGACAGTGAGTCAGGTTGAAACTGGAGAGAGAAACTTGAACAGTTTTGGAAACATCGGACGGAACTTCAGCCTCAGCCCCTGCTGTTAATAATACATTTTTACACAATGGGGAGTTCTTACAGTTTAGATGGGTTTTTGCTTATATGTCCATTATATAAAAATATTATTCATTATTATCTTTGAACATGCAAATAGCACAACAATGTTGTTTCTAAAGGGAGGGAGCGTGGTCCCACCATAGGGTTCCCATTACTGCAGGTCGGACGCTGCAAGGAAATGTTTTTGTCTATTTTAAATTTTTCCTACAGACAGAAAATTGTAAAAAAATATGTTATTTTCTTTATTTTGTTTATATATATATATATATGCAGTAGAACATTATATTCATGTGTTACTGCACTGGTGGTAAATCAGCTGTGTGTGCAGTTTGAATTTGAAGCACCACAGGGCCATTTCCTGCAGCATCTTCTCCCTCAACACTTCACTCAACCACACTTTCTTCTACTCCCCCAGCCCACCCTCACATACACCCTGCACCCCCCCGACCCCCAGCCCCAAACTAACACTCCCTCTTTTGTGTGTATTTGTGTGTGTGGTGGGGAGAACTGCCCCCCCCCCCTTTCCATGTCTTGTTACATGATGAGGGTCTCGTGGTCTGAGGCAGTTTTCCCAGGAGCCCCAACTATTAGTTTCTCAGCTCATTAATTACACTGTTCTGGAGGAATCATTAATAGTTAAACTGGAGCTACAATAATGTATAATAGATACATTTCACCAAGGCTTCTGATTCTGTCTTCTCTGTTTTTTCTTTGACACCAGATCAGTCTTTCAACAGCGAAGATCATTTCTTTAGACTGTGTTACAGTAATGTCTAATGTCTGTCTGCTCTGACTGTGACCAGCAGTTAAGGATTTCTGCTTTCTAGCGAGTGTGTGTTTTTTTTTTAAGTGTCTTAGACAGACGCAGCATGCGTCATAAGATGGTCTGTGTGTGTGTGTGTGTGTGTGTGTGTGTGTGCCTGTGTGTGTGTGCCCCTTCTCTCTGCTCCTCTTGCTCTGATCAGTGACAGACACTCTTGTGATGCAGGTCATTAAAAACACTCCCAAGGCAGTTCAGTGTGTGTATGTAAAAGAGTGTGTGTGTGTGTGTGTGTGTGTGTGTCTCCCACTCATCACCTCCGCCTTATCCACACCCCCTGTTTAATTTTCCCTTTTTCCCCCCACTTATTTAGCTGAAGTGGACTCAGACTGACTCTCCAAAGCTCATGCATTTGGTGTTTGTATGAACTTATAAAAATGTGTGTGTTTCTTTGGGAAAGTGTTTACACAAGTACAATAAAAAAAATAATAGTTATATTCTAATATTTTGTAATATTGGTATTAATAATTATTTCATGGCGGTGCATTCTCTCTAGACGTCCGCTAGCTCGTGGCACACTGAGCTCGGTGTGTAAGAGGTAATTAAGTATGAATAATTAAGACCAGCGCTCCCCGACTGGGAGATAGCGGAGCAGCTTCCCCATGGCAGAAGTCGGCCAGATCACACATGGCCCTTGTAGCAGTCCAGTGTGTGTGTGTGTGTGTGTGTGAACGTATTCATTAGAAATACCCACAGCTCAGACACGTTGTGATCCTCACCACAGGATCCTGGGCTGAGAGGGGAGGCAGGGGGCGCCGTGGACAAATGGGGTTCATCACGGTCTGATTATTATCAGAGTTTTCAGTCATTGGGGTTGACTAGGAATAAAGTCTGTACAAATTACCACAGACATTTGAATCTTGTGAATATTGCATAATGGGACAGAATCATTGGAAAGTAAATTGGAAAAAGAAAACATAGTATTTGATTCCCTTTGAGGCCACTCAGATATCGAGCCTTTTAGGCAGGTATTTCCTGAGTGGTAGTCAGAGATAGCCAGCTGTGCAAGGATCACGCTGCAGACCGTTTGTCTCACAGGAGTTTGTGTCTGTGGTCAATGAGTAACGACACTATCTTTTAGACCTGTGGGGTTGAGGAGTCAACATGAAAATGTCAAGTGCAATCGCTACGAGAGCACCTTTACCCTACATCCAAGTCCACAATGTCGCGTATACGTGCTTGTCGATAAATTTGTCGTAGGATGTTTTACAGTAGAACAAGAGATGTTCATGTTTCGAGCTGCACTTGTCAAAAATGACTTCACTGGAGCAGTAATTAAAACGTATATTCTTCCCCTCTCCACTCTCTTTCTCTCTGCCTGTCAGCTGTACGAGCAGACCGAATGCGCGGCGGTCGCAACAAGTTTGGTCCAATGTACAAACGAGACCGGGCCCTGAAGCAGCAGAAGAAGGCTCTGATCCGAGCCAACGGCCTGAAGATCGAGGCCATGAGTCAGGTGATGCAGGCCGTGCCCACTGACCTCACCATCTCCTCGGCCATTCAGAACATCCACTCAGCTGCCTCCAAGGGTCTGCCACTGAGCCACCACACTGGTCACCACACTGGGCACCACCACCACCACCACCACCACCACCATGCCACCGCCTTGCCGCCCACAGACTACGACCGCAGCCCGTTTGTCACATCACCGGTCAGCATGGCGATGCCCCCGCACGCTGGCAGCCTACAGGGCTACCAGGCAGCCTACGGACACTTCCAGGGCACACGCACCATCAAGTCAGAGTACCCCGACCCGTACACCAGCTCACCAGAGTCCATCATGGGCTACGCCTATGTGGACGCCTACCAGTCAGGCTCACCGCCCAGCTTCCCGCACTTGATTGTAGAGCTGTTAAAGTGTGAGCCAGATGAGCCGCAAGTTCAAGCCAAGATCCTAACGTACCTGCAGCAGGAGCAGGCCAGCCGCGGCAAACACGAGAAGCTCAACACCTTTGGCCACAGCACCCTCAACGCCTTTGTTCTTATGTACCAGAGGGCCCACCAGACGCCCTTCTCCATCGTGGAGTGGGCGCGCAGCAGCATCTTCTTCCGTGAACTCAAGGTAGGTGGTTTCAGACTTGTCTACTGTATGTGTCCGACTGTTTCTGTTTCGATGTATTCTCATCTCTGAGTTCATTCTCCGTTCTTCGTACTTGGTTATGACAGCACCTACAGTGTATGCATTTGCTCCGACAGCAGTGCCACGGCAGGCCATTAATAAGTAATCCCTCACTGTGTTATAAAAGCATCTGTCTTCTAATGCTGACAATAGGTTACAGAGTTCATAAACATCATTGTCCAGTCCCTTATCTTCCAATGAGCTATTATCTTGTCTTTATCTTTTGACTCCACATCAATGCAGAGTGATCAGGACTAATCCTGTTGTCTGCTCTGCCTTCTTATCAACACTGACTCTTTATCATTTCACTTTAATTGAGTGTTTAAAACCTATCAACTGTGTCTTATGATGTCACATCTGCCAAATCACCTGGACCATGATGTGGTGTCTGTGGTAGTCAGCAACAATGAACTACTGCTTTACAGAACTGTACACACAAGAACATCCAGTGAGAACATAAATCAATTAATAAGTAATTTTTCAGAACCTTCACCTGTAAAAAAAAAACAAAGGACTTTTTTAGGTTTTATTAAATTACACTTATTTAGTTTTAAATGAAATTTTAAAAAGTATAGTACAAAACATGTTTTCCGAGAGAGAGTTTATAATACTGGTATATTATACTTAGTTAATACTTAGAGCATTAGGGACAGTTACACAATGTACTGTGTGCAGTTTCTGTCTGCTGAGCTGTGACTAATGTCACTATTTGACACCACGTCGCAGACATTTCATTAGCTTTTGCTTACCTGCATTTATATGCTTCAATAGGCTCAGGTGCGTGTGAAACAGGGGTCACACATTCCTTTCAAATGTTGCTATTATTCCCTTTTCAAATGGGAAAATAAGCACTACAATAAATCTTATTTAAAAAATGTGCCAATTACAACACACTAGAGTCCTTGAAAAAAATAATTTTGACATTTAGTGAGCACAATGTCTCACATGACATTTTAAAAACTGTATTTGCATTAAAGTGGGGCATGGAATTTACTCTCATACACACACACACACACACACAGGGTGTGGTTGCTGCTAATAATTGCATATGGTTGGCCCATTAACTTTGAATGATAATTTTTTTTTTCTCTGCTCCGTGAAGCCTCTCTTTTTCTCACACCCTCGTTCTAATTCAATTATCTCAGCCACTTGTGTTTGTGGCTCCATGATTTGCTGCTGAATGAGCTGTCATTATGTTTTCCTAATGGCAGCCCAAAGTAGTGCAGCCTGATAGCAATTGAGGCGGGTGACTGTTATGAGGGTAGAGAATGACCTGAGCTCCGTGCAGAGGAAACTGCTTTGTGCACACGTTTAAAAGGCTCCACACAGACACACTGGCTTTGCTGTGAGGTGGGGCATATTTCACATGATTGAGGCAGATAATTAAACTGAAACATGTCCCACCCACTGAACCATTGTAAACACAAGTGGGACTGGAAAATAATGTGCTAGCTCAGTGGCTCAGTTTTTTTCCACACACCTCATAGTTTCCTTATTTTGAATTTCTTTTGACTTTATCTTCACCAGTGAACAGAGAGGCTATTTTTTTTACATGATTTGTCACGAATTCTGCCATCAAACCGCAAGAAGCCGAAATGATTTGCGTTGGATTAGTGTATTTGAAGTCTCCCCATTTGTCCGACCTATGAAATCAAACTGTCGGTGACTGTGAGCTCCGATGCTCCGTCAAGGCTGGAGGAGAGAGACAGGAAGCAGAGTAGAATTAGGTGTTTGTCACAGGAGTTGTACTGCACTGTAGGAAGCTATAAATACTCTTTGATCTTGGTCACACACTCTCACACACACACACACATATGCATACCCACATTAAGACACAGACGGTGCTCACACATAACGCACTGCTCTGCTCCCTATTATTAGCTCGGTAAGAACAAAAGAATTTCTCTGGTACTGGAGCCAAGTTTGAGTGAGTATATGTGTGTGTGAGAGCGAGGGAGAGAGTGTGTGTGTGTGTGTAGTCATTTGCCAAAAAAAAGTGTTCAAAGATTTAGTTTCCATAAGTTGGCTTCTGTCATGAGACTCATAAATATTTAGCCATTAGGAATACCTTCTAAAGAGCACTACCTATTTTTCTCCAGCGTGACGTGCTACCTCTCCCTTTCTCCCACTCTCCTTCTGGGAATGAGCCATGGCGTGAGGGACATTTATTTCTATCACCTTGGATCCCAAATGTTGAGACCGGCTCGTCCCGCCAGCTTGCTTCGGTTTTGATTGGTTTAACACGTCGTCAATTAGAGAAAACCAGCTTTGGTACACTGGCTTTGAAATCACTGGTTCTATGAGGGAACGATTTGGCAGAGTTGAGAAACACTAGTGGTGGTTAAATAAAATTGACTGGAGGGGGGGAAAAAGGGGTTGAAGACAGGTGCATGTGTGGATATGTGTGTTCATGTGTAGGCTTTTGTCTCTTACATATGGTCGCAATTGCACACGCTGCAGGCATTTGTTTTATTTCTTTAAATCCACTACAGTGCGCACACATTAATGTCTCTTAAAATTTAGGGTGAAAAATAGCACATGTGTAAGGTCAGTTCAACATGCCAAGGACGGACTATTTAACAGTAATTTTTTTCGACATAAATAAAGTAAAAGATCTAAAAAATTCATTTAAACTATTGAATCAATTTCTCACAGTCTTAACAAACTCATACAGAGCCGTCATGCTGGGCTGATACAGCCTGACGTACACTACATCACAAATGATTAAGTCCTTTAGGCCTGGAAATTGTTTTTTTTACATAACTTTATGTTTGGGTACCTGGTCAAGGCCTTTGCCTTGCAGTACAAAATTTGAAATATCTAATGGACAATTAAAAAAATATATATATATATTCGTAATGTTATTGATGTCATTCTGTCCTGGGACCTGGCAAATTTAGCCTTGTGATTCACCATGGGGTCACAAACCAGCATTGAAGAACACTACCCAGAAAAGGTTTCATCACATACACAGAACTCAGTTAGATTTTACTTTGTGTATCTAATGCACAAAGGCACAGTTCCTACTGCGTATTATGTACTGCTGTACTGTAGAGTATTTCGAGGCCGGTATCTGTCCGTTCATGACGCCTGCAGCGCGGGTGTACTCTCTCATGTCGTGCTCTATTGTGTGTGCTAAGTGTGGAAAACACATGTGTTTGTCCCTCACTGACATTTCCCAGCATGCTGGTACGGCCCCTCCCCTCTGCTATTCTCTCCTGTCCTGCCATGAACCCCTCTGACCATCCTGGTGCCAACCACCTTCCTCAGTACAGTGAGTGCTTCGTATGGGAGAAGTGTATTCAGGGTGATGTTGGATCACAGTTCAGACATTGTTTTGTTTACCCACGTGTTCTCATGATTCCAGTTTTTTTTTCAATATAACAAAAAATAATCCACGGTCTTAGAAAACATAGCATTTGAAGACACTAACTGTGTTTTGTCATCACATTTTGGATAAATTACTTTTTTTTTTCTGTTAGGGTTACTGATCACTGGAGTGAGCTCTGTTTCATTTTGAAAGTTTCTATGTTCAGTACATCTGTGCATGCACTGGGTGGTGAGTCATAGCATGACTGGTCCAGTGCTAGCCTCTCCTCCATTGTTCCAGTAGATGGCTGGCCAGACGCCCACTTCAAACACAATGGGAGGGAGAATGTAGCGTGGTGATCAGGACTATTGATGATTCATATGTTTACATCTCACCTTCCTAACTGCGCTCTACTGTCACCAAAGTGCCCCCCCACCCTTTTCCTTTCTGCACTCTTTAATATAGAGGATGTGTGTCTGCTGTCTGGGCAGCAAGTGCTTTGTTTGGCTTGTCAACACAACGTACAGACGCCTTTAAGCAGCACAAAATATAATGTTACACTGGGTTAAAAGACAAGGTTTTAATAAGGAAGAATACACAGATAATATAGCTCACTCTTCTACCTGCAGGGGGAGCAGTCGAAAAGTAACACAGCTCACTCTTCTACCTGCAGGGGGAGCAATCTAAAAGTAGCATGTAGTATGTTTTATCTGAAGTTTGAGAACAGAAAGGAAAGAAAGAAAGAAAAATACAGCAGCAACTACAACTACAGCAGGGCTGCAGTACCTGTACACGCCACCATACACCTCCAGTGGCTTATTAAAATCAGGGGTGTTTATTATTAACAATCAGACAGTAGATTTCTAGAATCTTGATCATGAGGGAGTTTGGAGTTTTAAAATGCTGACTTAATGAGATGTTAAATTAAATGCAATGTCAATGTCTGCGATGCATTTCGACCTCTTTTGGTTCTGTGATTTTCCGATTCTTGAATTTTTTTGGGCAAGAAAACTTTCTTTGGAACTTCCACTTAAGTTCTGATCCTTACAAAAGAAATCTCATGTCAAGGTTAAGCAGTTACGGTTGCAGAACATGAATAATGCATTTGGCTTTGTGACTGGTTACTGGAAAATTCCATACATATCAAGTATTTGATGAAAAATTCTAATAAACCACTGTTGTATAAAGTGAAGCATCCTCCATATTATTTTTAAAAGTTAAAATATGTAATTTTTACCACAGTAATTTCCCAAGCTGTTTCCTGCTTAAAGTGAGATTTTGTTTTCCATCCATCATTACTCAAACGATGTGAAACTTTATACATATATCTACTCTGTCCACCTGATAAAAGGGTGAGCGGGAGGAAAACAGCCGTGACGTTTTGAAATGTGGCTTCACTGTTTATTTTGGTCATCCAGGGAGCTTTTTTGTTAGGGAGAGAGGGGTTTTTTTTCTGTTTCCCTCTCTCTTTCATTTTTTTTAAGGTTGTCTCCGCATGTTGCAAGAATGGCAAAAGCAGAACTAAGAGCCATTAAGTTGAAGAGGAACTGTATTAGAAGTCTCGTTCCCTGGGAAAGCTCCCAGCTGAGATGGGGCAGCCATATTGGATAAACAGATGGCTGGGAAAAAGGAA